GTGTTCGAACTGATTCGAAAAGGCTGACCTACAGCAGTGTTCATCTGTGCACATAGCGGTGCGATAAGCAATCTGTCTTCAACCACATTTCGGGCAGCTGTTCCCTCGATTTTTCCCTCTGTTTCTTATAGTGTGTTGTTTTGTATGCAACACATGAATACGTTCGAAGGGGAAACCTACTTCATTGGATGAAAAACACACGCAATTCAGGACATCCGCGAAATCAGGCTTAATTGATTTTGTCTGGTCAAGATAATTTTGAAAACTATCGACAGATAGTGTGCACAGTTCCTGATCAAACTCTTTTTGCTATCATTGGCAAGATATTGCCCCAAAAAATAAACAGTTTCATACACCCAAGTAGTCATTCGGTAGCAGTTCACGATATTTACTATCCCAAACCGAATGTTCGTCTACAGATATTGTTATTACAAAGTTTGGTTAATTAATAAGAATATGCGACGGTTTCGTATCTCCACTAAAAGTGAACTTTGTTCTTGATAGGTGAATACATTAAAAGATGTTGAGGATTATAAACACCGTTCACAAAATACACCTCCATTACTAACATGGGTTTACTATAACTGCAGCATTTGACATAATTATCACAGTCGAGGATCAGTAATTTCGGGTCCTGACTAAAGTTTGATGCCTGTTCCTGTAAAGAATCGAATAGATTGGACATGTTTGTGATAACCGACAAACAGTACTGGACAGCTGTTTCGTTCTGTTTGGTACTCGTCAGCAGTGCTACTTTTTCTATCCCCATGTCAGGACTCAAACCGCAAACATTCGGGTAGTAACCTCAAACCGTTACCCCTGAGCTACACGATCGACCATCATCACCTTGTGCGAAGGGTTCAATCAATTTTAGAGCATAAACCTCGGACCATCAAGAGTGTCTGGTGCCTCTGTACAATAAGAATAGGCTAATCCAAGCCTAATATTCCAAAATAGAATGGGTTATTCCAAATTTGTTACTCTTCGCTTTTGGAAATTCCTAAATTAACCGTAATGATATGCCCGTTACATCTGCCAATAGAAATGCGTTTCGCTTACCCACAACAACAGTTTTGCCACATTGTATTAACAAGACTTCTGTACTGGAATGATTGTTTCGACAATCTTCATTGAATTCCAGAGATCTTCAATTGATTTAGTCAATCAAGCACTCGAAATTTGTTATAACCTGAAGATTCTTTCTGTAGAGTTAGTTTGTTAGTAGAATACAACTTCTGATCTCTTATATCTTTGAACTTTAGCTAAAAAATGTGATTTGACGCACTAATATATCCTGTGTGCGGTCAAACTGAAACGAAAACGCATCAGAGATCGTGCAAATTTCAACTTTATCGTTATTTTTTCACGCATGGAAAGATACTGAACGAGTTTCATGAATCACTTACTGGAGATAGTAGACTACTGTCCTTTCGGATAAATTCTGTCACACAGTTTGTGAGCTGTTGATAGTAGACGCAATAGGAACGCGCCTTGTGCAGAGGAAGGAGCACCCGTCGTAGAAATGTTTTGTGCTCTTCTTTTAGCGGTACTTGAAAGCCATGAATAATGCTGAAGTGAGAAACGAGAAAATCCGAGTAGAAAGGTGAACTGATACTTCGATTCGCAGATTTTATGTCTCACTATTAAGGGTAGATATTATTTTAATTGAGGATTTGGAACAGACTCCTGTTATCGGAAAACCTGGTGAGCCACAGAGTCGCTTAACCGGTGATCTACTTCCGGGAACTTGTGTCATGTCATCCGCCTATGATCCATGCCTACATGATGTTCCTAACCAGTCCATCTGTCAATCAAAGTGATGATTCGATGTTATTCTTCACGGGTCAGAAGCTAACAACCTAAAAATATTTGTGTGACTGTTCTTCTGGAAATATGCTGTAATAAGATAAAGAGAATGACTGAACGAAATAGTCCTGCAGACACGGAACCGATTTCAGAGTGAGTCACCTGGTAAGTGTATCTGGTCATCTCTGGTCAAAGTCAGTCAGTAGCAAAAATTTACGCCTCATGTTGTAGATTAGAGGTTTTAGACTAAAATCCACATTCCGGGTCCATTGGTGGTTATATAGAATTTGCTGTACGAAGTTATTTCCTTATCCGTACACTTAATAAATGATATGAAATTTTTGGATTGTACATTGATAACCAAATATTTCAACAATAAATTAAATCTCTCCTAAATTGTGTCCACTTCTTCGTGTACGAAAGTGTCCACAAAGATTTCAGATAAGTGGCAAAAACCGATGATCAAACAGATCTTCATATCTATTGCGTTTTATTTCGTACCTCTGAGACACAAAGCAAGTATATGCTTTCAGAATTACCACTCAATATAACGGAAATGCGCGAGGTGTAATCTGAAATCAATGTTATTTTTTCTTCGATCGCATCAAAAATATGCATGTCTTGTTTCGGCCGGTACCATGACAACGCTGATAACCGACCTACCCCAGGCACTTTCACATACGTTAGACAAATCCGGAATGGATCCAGGGATTCTGTCGTGGATGATAATCTTACCTGTCCATTATATCTAACAACTCGGCAATCCCTCGATGTTTGTCTTCTTCGTAAACAAATCTGTGAGAGTGAAAGAGAAAAGGGAATTGGTTGAGAAGAAGAAGAATAAGAAGCCGGAAATAAATAAATAACAGACTGAAATTGAAAACCAGTTTTGATCCCTGGACTTAATCACAACCAAAAGCATAAATATAAGGAAGACATAACGCAGCGCGAACGAGAAATATAAATACACATTACGATCACTCAATTAGATTCATTCTTTCCAGTTTGGAAAATGAGCAAATCTAGGAGTTATTTTCATGCATCTTTACACGAGAAGGTCACGTTGAGACCAATTGTTATTTATATATATATTTCATAATAAGTAGTATATGATTGTCTAGACAAAATTTCCCTGCAAGCACAACCGATTTTGAGGGGGTCTGGCATACTTATCCGGTAATGGTTTGTCAGTTTATTCATAAACTTGTACCAAGGGAGTGCATTTTCGTCACAATAATCTTGTTTGCAACACCGGGTGATATATATGTATAGAGGTATTGACCAAACCTTAGTTCCTCTCAAAGTTTCATTTCTCCAGCCTCATTCACGGGACTGAATATGGTATTGCCCCACATCAGACGCAACATATTCGTAATAATATTCCCTAACGACCAACTTTGAGGCACCTAACTGATCCCTGTTTCAGATAAATGGAAAAGTTTTCGATTGATTTAAAATCACAGCTGCTGTGCGGTAATTGAATGATTTTGACGTTGAACGTGACCCCTCCACAAACTGCATAAATGTGAAAAAATAATATTTAATTTGGTCAAACCGTTTGCTACTACCAATCTGAAGCGAGAATATATACCAAACTTCATCTGTGAAAAATATGACGTCCGCGAATAAAATTAAAGGTTAGCAGTTACCTCCCTTATCAGAGCAAGAAATTTGGCAGGGTTCAGGAAACTAACACTAGTATTTACTTCCCTTCCAAATAGTTAGGTGGGACGAATATAAACTTATTTTGGCTGGTAAAAAGAAATTCGTTAGAAAACTAGCTCATTAGATCAGCTTTCACCGCTTGCTGCATTAATCGTTGTCCACCGTTTCGATAAAATCAGTTGCAAAGGGACGGGAGACGCGATTTGAATTGGTTGGTAAAATCAATACGTGCTCTGCTTTGTTGGGCGTCCCATTACCACTTCGTATCACATGGCTTCAGCTGCACTTTAAATTGAGCCATCATTTTCCAAACAAAAGCGTGAAGAAAAAACGGCTAATAAGCCCGGATTGTCATCCTGATTGGTTTTGTGCAACTCTTTTGTGTTGCGATCAAATACAACCATCGTCTTGCGTTGACATTGTCGGTTTTCTCTTTCTCGGTTTATGTCTTGATGGATAAATTTCGTGGTTTATGCAACAAATTGGACTTATATTCACATCAAAGAACTTTTACAAGAAACCGAGTCGTCGGATTTATGTGCCTCTCGATTAAGTTACGTCAATGATATGCCTAAATCTCTTGGATGTTTCATCCGGTTTGGGTATGGTGACGCAGCAAAACGCTTACTCAATGTACCACACACCTTAAGGTCAACTTTCGAAGATCAACTTATATGTTTCTTGGACTATATCTCCAGTTCTTTCAGTATGTTGGACAATGAGTGAGTAGTTTGTAACCAAATAATTTATTAATTTATTTAAGTTAGAATTTGTTAATAACTTTGCCTATTTACTGTGCACTGAATGAAATGAGACAAGTAATTTAGAATGCGTATGTTCAGCTTAATATACACCCTAATGAAACAGGAATCATTTATTAAAAAGAATGAATTCGCGCGAATTTAAACGGTGATAGGAGAGAGCTGAGAAAATGGAAGTGCGAGATAATATCAGAAAAAATACACTTTACCCAAAGCCATCTATATGCAAGTATAATATTGGAGAGTGAAATGTATTTCCAAAATGAGAGTGATTTTGCATTTGTTTGTTATTTGATAATAAGTAGTATGTGAATGACAATTGTGCTGGCTGGCGGGTTGCGCTAAGGCGAAGTTCCATCAACAGAATGACAATTCCGTCCAGTTGTTCAAGTTACATTCGCTAACTCAGGGAAAAAAATTATAGCGTTCAGAATCTGGAGCATCAGAAACAATACAAAAGGGTGTCAATCATTTTACTACAATAAAGTTGGTCACGCCCAGACACTGAGGATGATGCGGTCGAATTGGACGGCTTTGATGTTTTCAGGAGCGACCGGATTGTGAAATTTCGCAACAGAAACGGTGGAGTGGTCACCTTCATTCATCGAAGTCGATGTAACAACACTCGGTTAACTTTTACCCAGTCAACTGACAAAATTACTCTTACTTTTGCTCGCTACAAGCCCTGCTCTTTCAGTAGATTTCGCTTTATCTACTTTGTGAATATATACAATGCCCCTGATACACTCGCACCTGCTATCACACTGTTTATTGACACCATAGTAATACAATTCGCCATTTGTATTGACTAATATTCGTGCATTACCGCTGGAGACTTTAATTGCTTTGATATCTCCTTTCTAACTACTCT